CCTTCCATTATTTCAATATTCCTTTGATGAGTTATATGTCAGACAGTTTGATATGCAGGTCTTTGTTCATGAAGCCAATATGTGTGTCTGAAAAAAGTTAAGCTGGCTCTATCCTTGAAAGCTTCGAAATCTAGTGCATCTGATGACATTGCGTTTGACAGCATTGATCACCAAATACTCCTCAATGAACTATCACATTGTGGTGTAAAAGGAATTGCTTTGAATTGGTTTCAAGATTTTGTTGTTGTTAAATAGGCAACAACAAAATATAGCCATGGTCTACTGCCAACCTTGTTCAATGACATCTCCACTTTTAATTCCCCTATTCATTCGTATGACAGAAGATAAGGTCATTCCATTCATCAATCACTCTACAAAACTACTCTTCCTCTCTCTCTCTTTTTAAGTGCCATATCGATTGACTTTGACCGCTGGCGATCATGCTGTTCCACAACCCTCGGCTCCTAGCCTTCTCTATCAGCACCACTTCCAGTTCTTTCTCTCCTCTCTCTTCCATTTCTGCAGACTGTCCATCCAAAGTATCCTCCTACTTCGCAGTAGATGATTGCCAGTTGATTTACCAGCTGAAACCAGTAGAATAACAGTTGAAAACCAGTTCATTGTATCTTGTGCATATTCATGATTAATTTGCATATTTTCACAGAAAATATAATTATCATGATCTGTCAAGCAAAAGTGACAACGCACATCCAATTTTCTTAGTCAATCATTAACAAATATATTAAATATGTCTGATCATATTTTACATCTAATTTAAGACGTAAAAAAGTAGATGTAAATTTGGTAGAATCTTAAAAACTACCTGTTATCATTATCCCCAACTGATGAAAGTTTTCTGTATCAGATATATTGATATTTGTAATGATGTAACCAGTAAAAACATGTATAAGTTTGTATATATCTATGTACGATATCCTAACTTATTAATTAACATTATACTCAACTGTAATTCAATTTAAATTATCTGTGTGATAGGGCAATTGCAAGAGTCTACATAAATGTGGTTTGATTGGTGGCCAGTTACCATGCAAAATTGATTATTGATTATCAGTTGATTGCCGGTCGAAACTGAATAATCCACTGTTTTTTAACTGGTAAGTCTACTGGTTTTCAACTGGTAAATCAAATGGAGATATCTACTTGTTTTCCAACTGGTCCCAGTTAGTGTTGTTTCAAATATAGAAATTGGTATACTGAATCGATCCATGCAACTGGTACCAGTTCACAACTGGTGGTTTCAACTGGTTCTAACTGGCAGTTGACGACAACTTATATTCCAACTGGTACCAGTACCAGTTGATTCCACTATACCAATTTCCTTATTGAAACCAAAAGACAAACTTAATGTAACAACTAAACTTTAAATAACTTATTAAAACATTCCACTTTTAGCCCCTCCATCTGCTTTTCTCCCCACATTCCCTCGCCTTTCCTTCCTCATCTCTTAAGTTATCTGAGATTTTAAGAAAGTACATTAACAGACATTGTGTTTTGCTTTCTATTGTAACGATGATTTTACGACGAATTCTAATACTATACAGTGCACACACAATGTACAAAGTCTTGTAAATAGACATTAATCGTGTGAATGCTTACCCGCTTACTACAATTATATCGCAGTTCAAATGTTCGTATGTTGCAAAAAGTATGAGCATCCCTCTAATACACTATCTTTCATGAGAAGGGGAGGTACAAGACACTACATAAACCATACTATACTATAATATATCCTGCATCAACATTTTGGTTTCTGATTGGTTGAGAGTTCTTCACGTGACCAGAAATATTTTAACCATTTTAAGGTTGCTCTGAAAAAGTACTATTTGGTAGTAGAAGAACTATTTTAGGGTAATATTTGGGAGTTTAAAACAAAAATCCTTTTTAAAATTAAAAAAAAAAAATTAGTTTTATCACAACTATGACATTTTAAATTTAAAAAAATATATATAATGTTTTTTTTCATTTTAATGATTTTATTAAATCCAAAAATTTTAAAACGCTTTAATTTTTTTCTCTCAATAATTTGCTTTTGTTTTTGATGCAGGATATAAAACAAATATACCAATCCTTCTTTACGAGGTGCTGGTTCAATCTATATGCCTCGATGACTCAAATACATGTAGTACCATAGTTTTAATTAGAACCTATCAAGTATCAAGCTAGCGTTTATTTGTATACTATACTTTATTATATTTACACATACTATATCATACATGATTCCCGTTATGTTAGCTTATCTGCTTATGTGAAAATACTATTCAATAAATCTAATTTACGTTTGATAAAATATTCTATTCAGTTAATGTGTTAGAAAAAATATCAGATGATCACCTCCTTTCATGAAGATGTTTGTTCCAAAGAAGATGCAGATACATAATCGAAATCACATTAACTTAATTATCAAAAAAGTGGTTTAATCAAAATTGACAGTAATATTTACGTTTTTGAAATTATGTATTTCAGCATGCATCACTGTCTTTTATTTCAATTAAAACACATATGGATCAGCATACAGGTATGCCATTCTTACCAGTGTACCACATAATATGTAGCTTCGGTCTGTGATCCACGTGCACGTAATTAAACTAATTTTTTTGTATCTACAAAAGTTTTCTTTAGATCAATGCATCATTTAAAAAAAATATATAACATAGAAATATGAAACTGAGACGATATCGTGAAGTTAATCACGCATTCAGTGTGAATTCCTGTTGATTTCAGACCATTAATTCTGCTTATAATTACCTTGTTAATAGAGCAATACAGAAACAAAGTAAAAATGGTAGGTAATACATTACGATAATATGGTAATGATTATGACAACAAAGTGATAAGATAATTCATATACCTCTCCTTAGTTTGTTCAATCTAGTCATCTGAATTGTCGAAATTTGAGTCGTGATTGTAGCCATGCCCGCCTAACGGTCAATAGTTTTTGAGAAAGATGCCCGTTGCCGTCAAAAATTTATAATTCATCCTGCTCAATGTGAATTTAGTTAAAAAATTAATAAGACAAGTATTGACAGTGGCCATGTCATAATCCTGGAGTTGATGATGTACCCCCGATCAGGTTTCCGATTTGAGATTCCCAATAAAAGGCATCTCATATTTCAAACTTTTATAACTTTCTTGTTTTTTGTCCAGTTTATTTCAAACTTTGGCTATTTCTCTTATTTTTCTGCTTTCACATAAGTGAACAATTAAGGCTCGTTCAGATATGACGCGGTAGTTGAACTGCGGAGGTGTAAATAAATGACATGCAACTGTGCGCAACAACGGTCCGTAGCATATTCACTTGGTTCTGTGTTATGATGTACAATAATGTGAAGTGGGTATTACACTCAGAGGCGGATCTAGGGGGGGGGGGGTGTTTCGGCGGTTACCCCCCCCCCCCCCCCTTGGGCGACCAAGTGAAAAAAAAGAAAAAAAGTAAAACGGCGCGATTTTTTGATTTTTTTTTGTTGGTCAACCCCCCCCCCCCCCCACCCCTTGGCATAAAGCTAGATCCGCCCCTGACACTTTACGTCAAGATTAACAAAAAATTACTAAGGGTCCGGTATGCAATCGTGGAATACTGTGACGTACTTGCTTGTACCCACACAGGGATCTCGGCCTAAACCCTCCATGCCATTGGTCGTAGGAATGTCACAAGTTACCTCGCCGTCACACCGGTCTTGGAGGAGTGGCTGGGTGTCCACAGAACGACAGTTGGTGTTGGATGTTTCACTTGCGACATTAGTATCACAAGTGGTCATATCACGACGGCCATAATCAGCTGAGACGATCATTGTCGTTTGGCCTTCTGGACAAGAGATAGTACCTATAGGGTCATTTTCACATAGTTCTATTTCAGCTACACAGGTGTATGCAGCGATAGAGGAAGAGAAGGAGAGAGAAAGAGAGAGAGAGGGCGAGAGAGAGAGAGAGAGAGAGAGAGAGAGAAAGAGGGGAGGGAGAAGAGGGAGGGAGAAGAAGGGGGGGGGGGTAAGAAAAGTATAAAATAATTAAAATGTTTATGAATTAAAACAAAATTAAAATTTTGTTATTCTACTCTTCTTTGATTCTGAGTTTTTGATTTACTGTTGGGCAAATTGCCATGTTGAAAATATCCCTTGTAATAAATGTTGTAAAAGATCATAATTTTAAACTTCAAGCATAATGGCAAAATAATCATTATAAGCAAACCTGCAGTCACTATTCTTTTCAGTCTTGAATTTTATGTTATTGTCTTATTCACCCCATTTGTTTTGTATAAACACGAGGGCCTTAATTTTGACTCAAAGACAGAAAAGCACTTAGTCTTTTGATCTGAAATTGTGTAAATACATTCATAAACCCATCTTGCTGCTGCAGATAGTTTTAAGATAAGTTTTTTTAATGGCAAGTATAGGTGAATAAAAAGTGGCTGGGCGTATACATGCATATCGGTGTGTGTTACAAGATACAGATATTTGAAGCGTGATATGCTTAGGCGCCATTCCCTTTTTTCTTCAGCTACTCGCTGCATCTCTAGCTGCTCTGTTGGATTTAGCATCGAATCCTCTTCTATGCGAAGATGCAATAAGTATGAATAATAACGCACTGTTGGCAAGTTGACGATCAGATGGCGCTGTGCCAAAAACTGTATAGTAGGGCATGAACTTCACCAGCAGTGGGTACTATTTTTTTTTTTTTTTTTTGCTCCCCAAAATTTGAAAATCGCGCTGGCCGAAAATTCGTTTAGTTTGGGGGGGGGGGGGGGGGGGGGGGGGGGGTTGAGCACTATTTTTTAAATTTGCCCGGGGGGGGGGGGCACGTGCCCCCTGTGCCCCCTAGATCCGCCACTGAAGAAAAAGGAATAAATGTCAAACGGCTTGTCATAGACACGCATGATAAGTGGACGTACGTTCACGCCGTTCTCGTCCACTTAATCTAAAAGTCCCTAATATCTCCTTAATATGTGCAACGGCCATTACTTACTTCTTTCTATCTCGACACTGCTAGACTCTTAGCTTGAAGACGAGCTTGAAGACGAGCTTGAAGACGAGCTCTAAGATGAGCTCGAAGACGAGCTTGGAGAAGAACGCCTGTCACGCTCAAGGACAGCCTTTCTTGCTTGACGTTCAGTGAAATCGGCTAAAGTTTTAATCAGAAAACAAACACGTAAAAGCAGTGGTGTCGATCCCGGGGGGGATGGGGGGATATACCCCCCCCAAAAAAAAAAAATTCAGGTGGGGGAGGGGGGTGGCCTATAAAATCATCCCCCCATGAGAGTAGTTAATGGTTATTACTCGCAAGATGACCATCAATATACAAATTTTGCTATCTCATTTCATAATACATACATATAAAAATAGAAAACGAAGTAAATGAGACAACCGTATTGAGACAAGAATAAATTGAATTCTCTTTCATACGACTTTATCAGGAATTGAAGAATTTATTCAATCAACAGCATCATAGAAATGCGTGCGTCAAATGCAAAGCCGCAGCGTTAAAAAGCAACGAGCAAAATGTTAAGCGCGAAGCGCAAAAGTGCAAAAAGTAGAGAGTGGGAGAGAGAGATAATGAGAGACAGAGAGGATAATAGCCCAGGTAGCAAGCCCATGTGGGACCCACATGGGTCCCATATTCTCTGAAACATGGGCCCCATATGGAAAACTATCTGGGGCCCTAAGGCATCTGCATCCAAGAAGCATATGGGACCCATATGGGTAAACCCGTATGAGACAGATGGGACCCAGATGGGATCCATACCAAACTGGGCCCAAATGGGTATGCCCAGCTTAATCCCATCTGGTACCCACATTGGTTAACCCAGAAATATCCAAAGTGGGTTAACCCATATTTCCCCATGTGTTACCCATATGGGCATATTCATATTCTACCCATATGTGTACGCCCAGCGCTTTCCCATCTGGGACCCATAACGGCTGACCCAGATAGATCCCATATGGGTTACTAAATATTGGTCCCATATGGGATACATAATTATATGGGTTCCATTTAGCCCAGATGGCACAAGTGACCCAGATCATCCCCATATGGGCCCCATATGGGCTTGCTACCTAGGAAAATGGAAGAGGGGAAGAAACGGGCAGAAGAAAAAAGGAAGGGGGAAGAGAAAAGGAAGAAAGACAAGAGAAAGAGGGACATATATATTCCAGCATTTCCTTCAGGGAACTGATGTGAATGGGCGATAAAAAAGAGGTTGACTTTAAAATAACCTACAATGAAATATTGCCTATGTTTATTTCTTACAATGTCAAAATTACTTTACGGGATCCCCTTCCCCCAAAAATCTTAGGCATGGGTGATGGTAGGTATGAGTTTGTTCCCTGATTCATACTCAGTATTTATTTTGTTTTATTAATTTCATCCTTTTCTTTGTTTATTTATATCTCTACATGTAAAACATTTGAAGAGCTATTTTCCGAAAGGAGCAAAATATTTTGACAGCAAATGGAGATATCGATATACATTTTCCTCTATTTACCTTGAACAAAATTATTAACCTAAATTACGAGAGAAATTATGAACACATGCATCTTTTAATAACAATTTTCCATAGACACCTGAACAAAATCGGGTAAACATAGAGTTCTTTCTTAAGTTACACACATGGATCTAGTGCCTCTTGAAAATAAGCTATTTATATGTACATAAACAAGCAATACAACAGAATACTCAAGTTCGATATTTTGAAGAAAGATTATTATTTCACAAATTATTTTTCTTTTAATGAAAAGCTGATGCAGGCCTATGTGTTGTATTCCAACGTAACAGGCATAAGTAGTTAAGGTGTTTTTGAAGGTTAGAATGTTATTAAGTTTGAAGTTTTGTTTATAACACCCTTCCAATAATAATGCACCTTCTAAGGTGATTCTTTGTTTGCCCTCTTGAAAGGATTAATTTCACCTGTGCTCAATATAATGTATCACAGGTGCATACATGAATAATGATTACATAACTTTCGTGAGCATGTGTCCAGTATTATTAGTCTCTGTGGGTTTTATAATTTTGTACAAGTGACCTTTATCTGCGCGTGCACAGATTGTATCTACGAACTGGGGGTAGTGAGCACATTTTTTTTTTTTTTTTTTTTGCCCTCAAAAATTTGAAAAATCGCACCCCCCCCCTTGAGTGCCAGGGGGGCCCCATCCTCAAAAAAAGGTAAAATTAACGTGTTTTTACACTTTTTTTTCCAGGAGGGGGGGGGGGGGAGGGAGGGGGGGCCGGCTCCCCCCTCCTGAATCCGCCACTGTGGGGTGAGAAGAGTGAAGATTTGACAATTTGACGGAAAAAAATATTTCCTCATATCATATCAGAAATCCCCCTTCCGAACCGATTTAGCGACATGCAGACATTAAGACCAATATCATGAGAAAAACTTCTACCTTCATCTTTGCACGAACAAAGCAACATTTTTTTTTAAAGGCTTCAACATTGTAATAATCTAGACAAATACAAAATACGTACTCAGCCTGTAATTCATTTACGCACCATTCCTTGCATTTCATGAAAAACGGAAGTCCGAATTCTGTCCGTTTTTAAATATTTTTTTAATTCATCAATCATCTATGTCCTTCTCCCTTACATGCATCCTACACAGATCGCCCCCCGCCCCCACCACCACCAATACCCTAAAATACACCCGTCGATCGAGAGAGGCAAGGACCGTCTCCGGTTTAGCGTTGATGGTGTATTATTTTCTCATCTGATTGGGCGCGCGACACGGAAACAGTCCAGGTAGACTAGGCTAATCCCTACGTCAGTTGCACTCGAGATGCCAGTTTGCATGCGTGGTACTGCATCAGCGACTAAGCATGGTATTTGACGAACCACTTGAGAGATAAATAATATAGAAGGTAAAAATAACATGTCCTAGTCTGCAGGCACAAACTTTAATTTAACAATTCAATACAATTTCTAAAGCCTTGAGCAGAGCCTAGCTGTGTCAGTCTCCCATGGCTGCTTTAAATAAACGGCTGAAGTAACGCAGTAAGCTACCAACCTGTAGTCTCACAGTGCAGATACTGTTGCGTACAAACACTTACAAGGATTTGTGCTCTAAATATGACCAGGGTAAACATTGCCAAGGGAGCGGTACTATGTCCAATTTCAGGCCAAACAAGTGAAAAGGTTAAATTTCAACGTCATTTGAAACATAATGTTAATCTAGAACTTCCCTAAAAAAAAAGGGGGGGGGGGGGCTTTGAAAATGTCTTTAAGTGGGAAAATAACGACTATTAGTTGTCGAATCTACTTAAGAGCTATATAGAGCCAGTAAGTAATAGTCTTATTTTCATACCATTGTACTGAATGGTAGTACGTTTTATCCTGGGCAAAGATTAAATCTGTTTAATTTTGGCCATTACAAGAAGTAGGTTTGATGTAGACAAATGCTCATGTACCCTTTACAGCTCATTTTATGTATGTTATTACCAAAGAAGAAAAAAGAAGCCAGTCAGTCACTCAGTAGTGTCTGACAGTGAAGTCTAGCAAGTAAACGGGTTTCCTTGCATAATTTGAATATTATGACACTGCTAACGTTTAAATTTCACAGATATGACATACATGACATATCCATAATTCCTGCAAAGTTCTACAGAATTTGATGTTGGCTGCAAAAGGGACATAGTATCTTTAAACGAAAAGGTTTAAAAAATGTCTTTTTGTTGGAAAATAACAACAGTTAGTTTTCGAATCGACTTTACTGATTGCAGTGATTTAGAGATTACGGTGACGAGTGTGTGTGTATATTGTATAAGGGGATGTGTATGGATGTGCGTATATATATATATATATATATATATATATATATATTAGATGGCTTAGACAGATACCAAGATGTTGTTGGTCCAGAGCTCGTCACGTGATATAAATTGTGAGGATCCAAATTGTTATATTTTCCTGGCCGCTCACTTTTCAGTGTTATATTAAACCAGCTGGTGAAATGTCGCCCTCTTGAGGATTACCATTACCGAGGGTCATTTTTCCCCTTGAAATTATTTTTTCCATTTTTTTTTCTCCCCAAAATGGCTTTTTTGCGTAAGATTCTTTTTTCCGATTTTTTTTCTTTCTCCCTTGATGACCATATTTTCTCCCTTGATAACCATAATTTCTCTCAGCGCTGAGCTTTGGGAAAATATAACCACTTGGGAAATATAACTCCCTTCAGCAGTCCAAATAATGTTATATTACACCCCCTGCCAGTCAATAACTGTATAATGTTGTATAAATGTATGTATACGGGCTTCCTCACGCTATACGCCACGGTAGAGGTGTATATGTTTTAATTATACCATTGTCATAGTATTAGGCAAGAAAGATGTACACATTCACACACACACACACACACACGCACACACACGCGCGCACACACACACACACACACACACACCTCACTCTATTTCTTTTTATTCCACTTTTCACAGTTCGACAGGAAATGACGACTTCACGTTTTTCCAAAACAGTGTCTGTAGCACTGAAAAAAAATGAAGAGTACAAAGCACATAATTCTGTTGCTTGTATAAACACACTTTATTTATCACCGCGATTATGTAATCCAAAATTGATATCACGAACTGGAATTATAATTAGTACACAGAGAGGGTTGATTATCAGTTGTATATTAGTATATGTACATTAATAATAATAATAATAATAATAATAATAATAATAATAATAATTATGAACGTTATTGGTATAAATAAGAGCATTAATTGAGTAATTAATAATTTGGCGATATCTGTTTGAAATACCTTACATAGTCCGGCTATTAAACACAGAATTTTAATCTCTTATACATAACATGTTAATTAGAATTTGCTATAAATTGCATTGCTTAGATTATGTAACCATTTGTTGTTTTTAAGAAGAGATTTTTTCGATATATATATATATTATAATTGTACTTCCCTAAAATGTTTCTTTTTAAATTTTATTTGTGTGTACTTTCCTAAAAACTTTGTGCAATACATCTAACTTATTACCATGTGAATATTGTAAATCGATGATTTACTTCTAATGAACAAATTTATATTTTATCACTCGAAATTTGAGTTTTAATTTGAAATATAATGTT